AGAGAGATGAGTGGAGAGGGGAGAGGGATGGAGAGATAGAGAGAGATGAGTGGAGAGGGGAGAGGGATGGAGAGATAGAGAGAGATGAGTGGAGAGGGGAGAGGGATGGAGAGATAGAGAGAGATGAGTGGAGAGGGGAGAGGGATGGAGAGAGATCTTTAGCTTTAGGGTTAGGGTTATCAGCTGCTGGAGATGTTTGTTACTGTAATTTCTATCTGTGAGGGACCGGTTATTTAAGATTGTCATCCGTTACGGTTCGGTTACGACTGGAATTTGCTAAATATTATTATTACGATTACTAGCTGTTATGGTTAGAATTAGTAGCTAGTAGAGGTGCTGGAATATCGTTAGTGTCATTATCTGTTAGGCTAACATCAGTGTCGGATTTATGCGCATTTTCGTCAGCCGAACGGCCGCGGGAGTCGGCGATGACGCAACTGATGTGTGATATTTTCCCATTCTTATTGACGGCAGGTGACGAGGATGGAGCTGGAGCAGATATTCCAAAGACACGGCCCGATCCGCGCCATCTCGATGCACAAGGGCTACGGCTTTGTGCAGTTCTTCGTCGAGGAGCACGCCCGGCGCGCGGCGATGCATGAACATTCCAGATACGTGGGAGGACAGTGCCTTGGTAATTGATCTCCTCATTAAAGTGATTAAGTCACCGTAAATAGTAAAAATTAAAAAAACATTTCCACTTTTTCGCAAAATGTAAGTAATTCTGTTCACTTTTTATGGTTAAATTGCCGCATTATACTTGCTATTTTACAATAATTATTGTTCGATGTCAACATACACTTGATTGTGACTCATGCATATAGCCCATAGCAAGCAATTAATGTCAGGATAATAATATCAAATCGTCCAGGTTTTTTGGATTTTTAACTAGTTGAGAAACATTATCAGGTAAGAATTTGACGATACATTTAGGCCCGTTAGTACTTACTTTTAATGTAAAAAAATGGCAACAAAAATTTTACAAAATACACCATAGAAAATTCGTGCGTAGGAGAGACGGCAGATATAAGACAGAAGTTTCGCAAGAGTGAGGCTCGTCATTTCGTTTATTTCCTGAATTTAATTAATTCAGGAAAATAATTCCTGAAAATAATTCCTGAATATAATTCCTGAAAATAATTCCTGAAAATAATTCCTGAAATTAGTTCCTGAAAATAATTCATTCGCTCGGCATACGTTAAGGCTATACGCTCTAGTGTGACAGGGCCATGTATTCACGTATGTATTCACAGTATTCACGTATGTATTCACAGTATTCACGTATGTATTCACAGGGCCATGTATTCACGTCACGTGACGCAATAGCTTATGCAGCGCGTTTTAATTAGTTCTCAAAAATCACTTGTATTATTAATTCGCATCTTCATTTTGCATAAATTTGTGTCCCCCCTAAAAAATTCATTTATATAAAATAACGTGCATTGTGTAATAATTGAGGAATTCGTTCATATCTGTACTCTCGTGTGTGTGTGTGTGCGTGCGTGCATGCGTGCGTGCGTGCGTGCGTGCGTGCGTGCGTGCGTGCGTGTGTGTGGCTCGTGACCGTATAGTGTGTGTGTGTGTGTGTGTGGCTCGTGACCGTATATAGTGTATACCATGTGATGTTGTACCCAGAGGTTCTACTTGGTGCGGGCACCCTTGTGAGGTACCCTGAGGTAATCACAAAGTAGACAGACACGGAAGTATAACGTACAAACAAATGTCTATTTAATTCTTACACGATCTTACAAAGACACGTTATTAGTTACATATTTAATGCAAGGTCTCTAAAAGGAGTTTACACACGCAAATACATTTACTAGTCTTAAAAAGGAGTTTTAAGACATACGTTTTAAGATGCATAGTGAGTGGCAGTCAGTGCTCGAAATATGAAAAAAAATGTGGTTGTCCTGCGGACAACTCAGGCATCAAATCAGGTTGTCCGCAACAATTTCTGGTTGTCCCAAAAAAATATCCCCAAATCTCCTATTTTCAATCACATAATAATATCGTCAGATTTTTTAACAAAGGGGGCCAAAAACAGCGAACTGCGAAAAATCGTGGATGACTTAATATTTTAATGGCTCCTCCGCCTCCCTGAGCTCCACACCCTACGGCTCCTCTACCTTCTCTGCAATCTTTGTTTTGGGTGCCATGCGAAAAGGCGACATTTTTGTTCATTTTTCTCTGCTCCCAAGATATGGCGGTGTCCTCCCAAGTTTAGTGGCGGGTCTAGGATTCCAAGGAGGGGGGTTAAAAACAAGCGGGGGGTATGGGGGTCCTCCCCCAGAAAATTTTGAAAATGTAGATCGCAGGAGATGGTATTTGCGGCACTTTTGAGTACATGTACAGCCTTCATTCTGCCTACGACTGATTCTTTTCTTTTTTTTAACTTTCGGATCAACATGAATCCCCATGCACTGTTGTTTGTTTTGCATGCATGGGCAAAGCCATCGGAAAATTCAAAATAATAATGGAATAAAAATACCAAAATGTAGGGGTGAACTTGCTGGTTTGCTGGTTCCAAATCGAGTTCACCTCTCATAAATCAAAAAACCTGACATATATACCAGTGTTGGAAATAGCAGCTGGTATGCGTCACTTTCCCACACCATAGATTAATGGCGGGCCGCCAGGCTATAAGTGCTCTTGGAGAACCACTGAGAAAAACATAAATAAAGTGCGTTTTTCGTCACATTTTTCTTTGTTGTCCACCGGACAATGTCTCAGACTGGTTAGGTTGTCCGGCGCAAATTCTGGTTGTCTCGGACAACCGGACAACGCATATTTCGAGCACACGAATACGGTAAAACTTATTTATACTTACATACCAGAGAGATCGAGCGAGAGACAGAGAGAGAGACTCCAAGAGACCCGGTTGGTTCTCTCCTCCCTCTCTCTCTCTCACTCTTCTCTGTTAGAAAAGCTTGCTATTTATACAATTCTAGCCGTGTCACGTGGTTTTAGTAGTGCTACGCTTCCAGGTTAATATGTCTATGAAACAAGGCCATGCCTTGGTGCGAAAATGGCTACTGTCCTCTTTTTTAATGATAGGGGGAGGGTGTCTTTTGTTTACCCGGAATGTCGTACTTGGAGGTACCAGGCAGTATCGAACTGCCTATAACGAAGCGAGTGACCAAAAGTGCATGAGGCGTGTTCCTGCGTACGGATCTTAGCCTCGACATAGACGTGGTCACGAACCGTGCCTGCCCTGCGGCGTCGCTCTATATCGTAATGACTTTAGCTTCATTACAATTGTGAGTAGGCGTCTCTTTCAAAGAAATTACGTCTGACAAGTTTAAGGTAGTAAATGAAGAACGGGAGGTGGCTTAGTTGTGCACTGTTCTTTGGTGAAAAGTCAATATCAATAAATCCCTCATACAAATAACTTCATCAGAACTGTAATTGCCAAGGTTACGGAAAGCATGCATGTGTATTTGAAAAGTTCACAGTAGCGTGGTATAATATGATAATAAATGCACAAAAGACGATGGTGAGTGTTGTACATGTGCCAACCTGCGCGAGCTATACACTGCGTATATATCCACGCATGTTGGCAGCAAACCATGAGTGAAATCCACTCAACAAATAATATAATTTTGCCGATTTTTTTGGTCTATATTGCAGTTTGTCTTGAAAATTTGTTAATATTTCTGGAAGGGCAGATTTACTGGTATAATATAAATTTATCTGGTAAATATACCATAAATTTATCGACCGTAATTTATAAATTTCGTATAGGCGTATTTCCGCAACATGAATTTCCACAAGCGAGAGTGAACAAGCGAGAGATTACTGCTCTTACTCTAACCACCGTGTGGCACTGAGCCATGGCATGTATTTAGCATGTGGCGAACTCTGTACGATCTATTTGCTTCCAGAACTATACGTTCTGTTTATTCTCATAACGTTGGGACCGGGAAACCTATGTACAATCTTGACTATACAATAATTATGGTTGTAGCGAGGGGTAGGAAAAAGTGGTCGTTCATTATAATGCCTGCTCTTACTCGCTCGCATGCGTTTCAATACAGGCACGACAGAGTGTTTTATTCTCGGCTGGGCTAGTCAATGCAATTCCGTGGCCAGTGCCGTGGACGGTTGGTTATCCGTCTCGATCGGGCAGTTATCGGTACCCATGTTCGTCATATAGTGTCCATAATTACTGTTCACTTACAAATCGTCATTGTGAAGCGAATTAAATGATTGCTGTCGATGACAGTGTCTATGAAATAGTTGCTGGGAACCGATTGTATAGATGGTGAGAGAATAGGGAGATTAATTTGGAAGGCTTTAATTGCTCAGCTGCCACTGTTGTAAAAGCTAATTGTTCCAATAACTAATCCGTTCCTCAAATTCGAATAATCGGTGTGGTTCACTTTTAATAGTACATGGATTATCGCCTGTTAAACTGTTCATTTTTTGTTAAATGGTAACGGCTTGACGTAAGAGTTGTGGCAGTCTTAGACATTGCTTTCATTTGGGGCCCGTACGCATTGTAGGTACTTCTAGTGTATTTACACGTCACACTATTGTGATTGCTTTTCTTATGTTTCTACTTCCAGACTGCAACTTGGCCTGTGAACCGAAACCCGGACAGCGTAACAAAAACAAACCAGGTCAGGGATTTTTCATGTTGTTATTAAGGCTGAAAGGGTCTATGTCCCCCGGGGTACTGCCGGAACGTACCCTGGGTACGGTCCGGTATACCGGAACGTACCCTGGTACTATCTAATATGCCGGACCGTACCTCGCCTACTCCACTAACGAGTCTAGGGAGTCGCCTACGCCTACTCCCGAACCCGAACCCTAACCCTAACCCTATTCCTAACCCTAAGTCCTAACCATATCAAATAGTGACCAGGGTACGTTTCGGTATACCGGACCGTACCCAGGGTACGTTCCGGCTGTACCCTGGGGGACATAGACCTTATGAGCGTTATTAAGAGTGCATTACCAATATAGATCGAGTCTGTAACAGTAATATGTGTGAGAGTCATGTTACAGTTGGATAAGTATACATATTCAATATTAATGTTTATGTTTAGTTTATGTTTAGTTAATGTTTATGTTTAGTTAATATTACCAATAAATATCAAGAGCTGACTCGCGTTTCGAGAAATGATTCCCAAAATTACATCATCAGTGAGACGTCGCACGAGACGCGTTTTCATATAGTTCCTTTACAAAATTGCGTTAAAAATATGTTTAGAGTGCTTAATAATTTTTTTTACCAATACATATAGTTGAAAAATGACATAGCTACACTAGGTTTAACAAACGTATTTTTTAGGGGTTGATCCTGTCACACCCCTGTCACACATTGACGATTTAAAATAGTCTTTACACATAGTCTGACACATATAGGCTTTAAAGTATCTTTATAATCATGTAAAAACTAAATTTATGCATTGGTAAATGTCCAGTCGTAGTGAAGAGAACCTTTACTATAGAGCACATCAGCAGCGTGTAATAGTATATAATCAGGATAATATATAAGCATTATTAGGAGATAAAAAGTACATTAACCTGCGATTTCATATTATTTACTATTAGTATTTTTTTTATTGAAAATGTTAAAGAGTGTACGTGCATGTGGCCATGGCAAAGTTCCATTGTATCTATATAGAAAGGGCAACATATAGAAAGGGCTTCCATATAGAAAGGGCAACATATAGAATATATGTGAGCAGACTACTGTGTGCGTGCGTGTGTGTGTGCGTGCGTGCGTGCGTGTGTGTGTGTGCGTGCGTGCGTGTGTGTGCGTGCGTGTGTGTAATACCCTATGAAATTGACACTTAAACGTTGCATTTTTACTTCAATGGACTTCAACGTATCTATTTCTTGGTTCGTATAGCGCGTGGGTGTGTGCGTGCGGCTGCCGACGTTCTCGAGTAAACTACTTGTTTTTCTGCGCTAGTTTTTTTTGTCCTTGTTTGTCATTTGACATTTGAGCTTCTAAAATTAGGAATTTTACGATCTATAATTAAGTTCGGCCCAGATTCAGAGACATATATAGCTATGTATGTTTATCCGCCACAGCGTGTATCCCACCCATGGCGTGTTTGGGCATTCACGCACATGTGCACGCGCGTCGTGGGTTAATATGGGTATGTGCAAGAGTTGATAATAACACACATGTGCTATGTGTTATAAATGATGTGTTATTATCTACTCTTGGTACGTGCCGTATATGTGCGCGTGACTGCGTACGAGCGCGCGCGCATGTGCGTGCGTGCGTGCATGCGTGCGTGAGTGCGTGCGTGCGTGCGTGAGTATGGTGGGGTGAGAGGCCGGCTTGAAGAGTAATAACCGAGTAATGAAGAGTATAAGACGAAGGGGACGTGTATGCATAAAATGTTAGGTATGTAGCATATATCTACTGTACCATATAGCTAACATGCATGAACGTTCATTAAATAATCCCCGTTTTTGTAATTTTGATTTTGATTTGATTACTAATTCCTCTCTGCCCTGGTTTTCGTGGCCAGCAGCAAAACATTCGTACAGTATTTCACTGAACATAACATGAAATTTTAACTGAATGACAAATCGATTGAACGAGGATGAATAAGATTTCTTGGCTATACAGCATTGATAAGTATTTTCAAGATCACACTTGCTAGATATGATTGATGAGTAATTCTTTCAGTAATATATATATATATATATATATATATATATATATATATAATAGGCTCTTTCAGGAAAATATTCAAGATTACTTCTCTCTATCCCGATACGGAACTGTTAAACCCTCGCTTGCGCGCGGTAATATCAGGAATGACTTAGGATAATATGTGTGGCATCAGTCACTGCACTTATGTACAAAAAATACCTAAACTCTACAATCTGGGTTTAGGGTGTCTGTATAGTACATGTTAATTTGTTTATTATATATTATATTACACTGAGGGTATATAGTATGTAGATTGCAAAGATAGCGAAATGTTATTCAGCTGGAATAATCCTGGATGGAAATTAGATGGCGAGTGTCCTGGCATATGGTTAGCAGAATACGTAGGAGCTATATGCTGCTTAAGTGTGTTTGCGTTGTTTGTGCTACGTGTGTCAGTGTTAGATCAAAAAGTATTGCAGGTGATGGTTAAGTGACCTTATAGCTGGTCCCTAACTACGTGAAACACGTGAAATACGTGATAAGTATTTCTAATATAAATAAGTTTAATAATTTGTCTGGGATAGTTCAAGATTCCTCGTCCGGGATCGATGTTTTTGCCGCACAGGAATGTAACGCATGTAAGGACGCCGCACAGAGTGATGCAGCCGCTGCAGATATCGATTTATTTTGCATTTAATTATTTAGTATATTATATTTTACGGTCAGAATAGAAATTTCCGCATGGGTTGAATAATGCTGTTAAATATTGCAAATGCATCCAAGGTGTTAGGCATAAAGGTAGTAAAACTACCTCCAGTAAATTTAGTAACAGGCGTGCCCATGCATGCATACAAGCGGGTGTATATATATCCATCACGCACACACATATGTCCATATTCAAGGATATTACAGGATTTGGTAATATTTTCAATGAATAATTAAAATAGCAGGATTATCAAGATAGAAAGAATAGTAATAGACATAGTGAGGCATTTAATGGTAGAGAACGGCTCACTTAAAGGTTGAATTTCACTTGAAAACAAATGTCGTCTAACATATTTTTAGAACCAGTTGTTAAAAAGCCTGGTGTTATCGTACACGCTACCTCATTCGTCTTCGATCCATTATCACCTGATGAGGCAGATATTATTGACTTAGGCAGGGGTCGAAATTGAAATATTTATATTTTCCAGTACGGGCATTTATTCTACCGGAAATGTGGAGGTAACCATGCACATTTATGATTGGGAGATCAACTACTTACTCTGTTACTCAGTATTTTGCTGTTACACTGTCTAACCATGCTGAAGGCACGCCTTAGTACGAGAAACGACGTGAGCTTGCATCTGTAACGAGATATTATGTACCTTCCTAATTATTTTAACATGTAAACTCAAAATTCTATGTAAAAGTCGTTTTTCGAATGAAAATTAGCCGTAACTTCATCCACTTTGTAAAAATGGAAAATCTATATAATTATGTCATAATTCAACAAATTAAAAATACAAGAAATACAAAATTTGTAATTGACTCATAACGTACAGAAACTTCATTATTGATCACACAATGAGTCGTTCGACTGAATACTTGAATCATCATTGCAAACACATATCCTCTTTCATACATTCATTTCCATCCATTGCATTCGAAATTTCTGCTAAAGGTCAGAAATAGACAAAAAAACACATTTATAACTGGGTCTAGATTACTCTAACTAAAAACTCATAGAAAGAACTATAGCCTATCTTCATGCTGTGCTAATAGTTACCATCACGTAGAACAAACTGCAAAACAAATGTGTAAGGCTTGTTGTATTAATTTATGTATCACACGTCTTTCAGGCACACTTGCTCCAGTCCCCTTTCTGCTCCTAATTTACCCATCCTAAGCTGTACGTTCACATGGTACGATGCAGCAAGTTTAGTGGTAAACCTGGTATTATGAGATTGCTTGCATTCTAATTTGGTTTTCTGACTGTAATTTGCTATATTAATTAGATCAGCTTTAAATTCTCGACGGAAAATTCGGAAAAGATTATCAATGCTGACAGCTCTTGGGCTGATATAGTTATTATAATTAATGAACTGAACAAATGCATGCACACTGTGAGTGTCGTTGAACTTGCACTAATGAATGCGTTGTGTTTACTTAACATAAGACAGTTTCTCATTTGCATTTCTGAGCTAAACAGCTTCCACGTGGAACTCATTAGGCAGTCAGGCATGAAAAATCAAAGAAAATAACATAGGACCTTTGAAAATTTAATTAGCACGTAATTAGTTTGAGGCATGCCCATGCTAATTAAAAAAAGGCTGCGTGAGTTCGTTTTTAAACCTCCTTCGGTTTTTTTTATTTTGGTTGAAAGTGTGTTTCAGCATTTTTATCAGTACTAAAAAACGATCACTTATAAATTTTCTTTCTTTTATACCCACCCGCTTTATATAACTCACTTAACCCTTTATATATATATCACTTAAATAAAGGCTAACGCACACTGGGGTTTGAAAAAAGAATAACGTAATATAATAATAATGTAAAGAATGAAGTGAATGTACAGTGATATGTACTCTGCTATTGTGAATTATAGTTTTGTGCGTAATGGCTGTAGGTTTTTCCAGCAGCGGGAAATGAATGTATTTACTGCTTTTTGCAGATGCCAATTCAGCAGGTGAACAGAAGCAGGGTCCGAAGAAGCGTCAGCAGCACGAGGAAGGAGAACCGTAAGTATAAGCTGGTCGGTAACATCCCAGTTGGCCTATATACTCCCATTTCAGCTACATCCATTTCGACTACGTCCCATTTCAGCTACTCCCATTTCGTCTACTCTCAGAATCGGCAATATACCCATTTCGCCTACTCCTATTTATGCTACTGTATTTTCTATTTTTGTCAAGTTGTGTTGTCATTATTTGTACCTATGTTTTCTTCTGGTTCCTGTAGTCTATGTATGCCAATTAAAACCATTTTTTAATGATTAATTAGTAAACAAACCGATCGTAGACGAAATGGGAAAGGGGTAGATTTTGAGCGTAGACGAATTGGTAGTAGGCCAACCGGGAATATACCAGCTGGTCAACGCTGGCCCTTTAACATCACCATGGTTCGCTATAATGACATATACGAACTTTTGATGAAAGCAAAAAGTCTAAACAACGATCTAAACACCGCTCCCGTGTTGATGAGTGCAGACTCGCGCGCGTGCCTTCATAAGGACGGAGTTGGACACGGTTGGTTGGTTGGTTGGCACGGTTGGTTGGTTGGTTGGCACGGTTGGTTGGTTGGTTGGTTGGCACGGTTGGTTGGTTGGTTGGTTGGCACGGTTGGTTGGGCACCGTTGGTTTCTGGTGTTTTTGTTGAATAGTTTACTTTCCCGTTAATTGAGTATATAAAATTACATACACATGTGCTCATGTTTAAAAGCATAAATCCCATGTTGAATTATTAAATTGGCTGCATGCTCAGCCCTCGGAATATTAATCAAACTCCTGTTTAAATTGTGTAGTTTTTGTTCCCTTGGGCAAGGTGTGCATGTCTAGGTATGATGAATGTGGTTAGATGAAGAATTATTTAAAGGAGGAGGCACACCGATCAGGTGTGCATGGATAAGGTGTGGATAACCCGATGGCAATTTTTTGAGATTATCGCAGATATGTGGGAAATTAGTTGGTAGAGTTTCAATAGGTTGCGACCGTGTCCAGCCGTTAATATTGTAATCGCGGTTGAACAGATTTAGTCTTAATGGCAGATACATCTATAACTAACTACTATCGTTATATATAATAACGTTTCCTGATTCGTACATGTATCGTTATGTTCGCCAAAATGATAATATGGATCCACATTATTTATAAGAAAATAATTTATTATCTATGCGCACGCACGCGCGCACACACGTATATTTATACGCGTGCGCGTGTGCGTGCGTGCGTGCGTACGTGTTCACGAAACTGTATATTATCGGGACATAGCATGCGAGAACGTTAGCCCTTTCAAGTAATATAGTATTCGTGGTAGTTGCTGAGTAATTGCTTAGTAACTGCTTTCATCCAACTAGCAACACTATTTGGCGTTACCACACCCGGGGGCCTTTTGATTGCATGAGTGCATACTCTATATTATGACTGATAAATATTCATGCACACTTTTAGTGTATTTACTCATTTACTTGTACGAAGCATGCGTATATATATATATATATATATATATATGTGTCAGGAAATGTATAGGAACTTCCGAATTTATTCGATCGTTAAGGTATTCCCCATGAGATTGCCTGGGCTTGATTTATTGCCGGTATTCATGGCAAATGACGCGTGCCCCGTGCGACAGGGCAATCAGCAGCGGGACAGATTAATGGTCGTACAAAATGATCAAAAATATATGACATGTAACGAGCCGTGGACGTGCAGATATGCGCGCGTTTTACAATAACTCACGTCACCTGATACGCTTGTACTCGAAATTACGTACGTAGTTTACTATCTGGCAGCATATATCTAACTCACAGTGGCTTTATGTAGTTAATCACTTGATGGCTAGTGGTTATGGGAGGGGATATGTGTCAAAATTCAAACGTTCAATTGATCGATGATTGTTCAATGACAGTCAATTTAATATTCAAACGTTTAATTGAATCCAATTGATTGATTCAAATTAAACATGGACAGTTCAATTTAATCATGTTCAAACGTTCAATGACTCGACTTGATTGTTCAATTGATTCAGATTTGATGTTTCAATTGAACAGTCGTTTAATCATCCAAACGTTCAATTGAGCAATTAAATAACGAATTGCTAAATTGAATCGCCGAATTGACGATTTGACGAATTGACGAATTGACAAATCAAAGGCCACGAATACTGAATAGGGTATGAATCATGGAATGGAGCAATTGCCGAGGCTCGTCAATCGCCAATCAACAGTTAACCTACTGCACACATGCGCACAGAGACATTTGACGGAAGGCGCGGTTAGCGAATGTTAGTTCGTACGGAAGCAATCGGCGGGGCGTTTCCCAGCTAAGTGCGTGTACGTGCGATGTACCGCGTGTACGTGCGTGTACGTGCGTGTACGTGCGTGTACCCGCGTGTACGTGCGTGTACCCGCGTGTACGTGCGTGTACCCGCGTGTACGTGCGTGTATCCGCGTGTACGTGCGTGTACCCGCGTGTACGTGCGTGCACCCTCGTGTACGTGCGCGTACGCGCGTGTACCCGCGTGTACGCGCGTCTATCTGCGTGTACGTGCGTGTACCCGCGTGTACGTGCGTGTACCCGCGTGTACGTGCGTGTACCTGCGTGTACGTGCGTGTACCCGCGTGTACGGGCGTGTATCTCCGTGTACACGCGTGTACGTGCGTGTGCCCGCGTGCACGTGCGTGTACCCGCGTGTACGTGCGTGTATCTGATTGTACCTGCGTGTAGGTGCGTGTACGTGCGGGTACACGCACGTACATGCACGTAATTTCCATGTCCAAATTTTATTTAAACCTATTTTATTATAAATATTGTAATTATATATATATATAGTGTGTATTTGTTTAATATTTAACCATTCTGTTGCTGTGAGACGGCCATGTGGAAGATAGGTCTGCGCCAATTTATTGCGTCTGTACCTAACATGTTTTACCGTCGTTAAATAACGTTTTTACTTACTTACTTACTTACTTACTTACTTACTTACTTACTTACTTACTTACTTGCTTGCTTGCTTGCTTACTTACTATTATAAAAATAATGTAATATTAATATTATTGTTAGTTTTTCTATGTCTTAAATTGCTCTTACCATGGAATGCGATCTTTCATTCTATTAGTACCCCAAATATATTACCCCATTGCATTGCCATGGCCCATGTAAAATATCGCCTGGAAATTAAACTATGCAATAAAGCATTTCAGCATGAGGTCATGCATTCCCCTTCTACACTCCTGGCAAGTAATCGTGCTGGTAGTACTATTGATACATGTAGGTTTTTTTACGTTTCCAGTGTAGTGAAGAAGCTCAAGCCTGAGAATGGCATGGCAGAATCACACGTGGATGTGAACCAGGAAGACCTTAATACGTACCGTGCGTATCATGTAAACAGTTGCTGAGTCGTCTAGCATATTCTAGAGGTTCCTCAATATCAAGAGCCTATTACCTATAGTTGATAAGTTTGTGGCTGATAATATGCGATGGGCTATAGTATATTCATGCACTTGCTTGCATTTTTTTAACAATCAGCCTAGTTGTAAAGGTTAATATTATGTGTAAGTTTGAGTAAGGTTGTGTTCGTGGTAATATGATAGCATTGATCTCTGCTGGCCCTTTTGTATACCCATGCCTACATAATGGCACTAAGTTGTACCGGTACTGATGTATACTTGCACCATGGTTACAGGCAACCCAGACATTATTGTGTGTGGTAACTGTAAGGAACAACTACCGGATATCTTCAGCCTAACAGAGCACAAGCGCACGCGTTGCAAGCTCAGATTCACCTGCAAGTGTCAAGCACTGCAAGCAAAATCAGGTAAAATTACTGTATAAAACCTTCCTGCTGATTGATTTACTGGACAGCTGCTTCTCTGTGATAATGGGCTACCGTCGATTCTTTCTACGTCTTAACTCAAGATGACTTACCTTGGCGCTTTTATCTATCTGTAATATTGCTATCAATTTCTTATCGGTGAATCCCTTAATAATCTGCTTGCACTTTGCTTTAGTCGAATGATTGGCAATATCAACAAAAGAAGTGCAGATTGAATAGGCTCGTATAGCTAGCAGCTTGGAGTCTGCACAATGTTGGTGTAAGCAGTAATTTAGGTACATTTAGCAGAATCTTTTATCAGATTCAGACGTGATTTCCGTTTCATTCAGCACACGAAGCTCCAACCCTGCTATGTGCAACCTGTGGCCGCACCTTCGACAACAGCTGGGATCTGGTGACTCATGTGCAAGAGGAGCATCAGATGCCAATATACGAAGTCCCTCACGATCACGACTGATTCCTATGTGCACGTGCAAAGCGGTGGTGTGTCAGTATAGTTGATGTTAGGTTTCATGCACTCGAGAGTAGAATATGTGTAATAAGAAAGAACTGGAGACTGGGAAAGACTTCGCATGGAGGATGGCGAGGAACAAACATTGCGATAGAATGCTTTCACGCACCACAGTTTATCTTGCGTGTCATGTTTTTAAACAAGCACAAGGGAGACATATTTCTGTTTTAAAGCAGTTATTACGTGTGAAGTGAAGACTCGTATTTCTCATTTCTTGTATTCATGTTAACATAGGGAGATATGTCTTTCTTTTTGGGGTGAGGGTTCGTACTTATATTCTTCCAATACAGGTGTGACTGTTACAACCCTGTTCGTGTAGCCATTTATTTTTCGTGTGACGATCTGTATAAAATGGTGGCTATACATTCATGCGTAAATTGCAACACTCATTAATTTCTGGACAGACATAAAGGTACGTGTGTAACATTACTTCAGCCGTTATTTCACCGACTATATATATTAATAAGTTCGTACATAAAAGAAAAAAATTCACGTCGAAGCATGAATGCTCTTAATATGTACTTCTGTCCTGTGTCAGCTAGTACTAAAATAGATATGTACTATTGCGCTATTAGCTAAACAAAGTGATCATTAAAGTGGCCAGTGGGCTCGAGAAAAATATATTGTTCAAAAGTAAGGTCACAGTTATCCGTCCTTTCAGTAGTACGTGCAGCGTGAGCTGTTTGTACAGTGCTTACAAGATTATAAAGGATAAAGTCACTTTCCAAACCATGTAACCATTGAAGGGCTGGGTATGTACAAGTTATCAAGAGCATGTATATACCCTTCTTTATATGCTCTTGAAGTTATTGTAATTAGAGTTTCTAGCATTTAAATAAGTTCTCTTGTGCAAAAAAGTACTTATTAGCATGGACAGGACCATATACCCTGATATGTGATTAATGCTTCACACCGCTAGCATTCTCCTTTCACTTTCATATTCTTGTCAGAAGTGAAAGTGTGATAATCACTTGGAATTATTTTAAGCATGGGACTACTCATACTAATCTAAAAGCTCTTTGGACAAAGTTAGGTTAGAGAACAGTTTGTTTGAAGTTCCTGTTATAAACGAGTGAATCTTTGGTTTTATCATCTAGTCGTTTGCTACTATACTTACGGCTGCATGGAATTGCGTTATTCGTATCATAGTGTTCAGCTACATTGGAACTCATTTAATCTGTTCACAATTGTATTTCAGTTTTTCCAATTCAAGAAGTCGAAAAGTACATATTTGACTAAATTTCATTATTTTATATTACAAACAAAGTGTTTATTTAGGGAGGTCATATTCATTATAATTGTGTGTACCTCTACTCTAGAAAATGGTTTAAAACTGCTACCAGTATATGAACATAGTATTAGTGGTCAGATGTGCTCGAAAAGACAGTGCGACCATTGTTAGGCAATGTTTGCAAAATGTCCGAGTTTCAGATATAAGGAATGGGTATCAGACAAATTGTAATGTTATATTTTCTCAATGAGGGAAGATTTTATTTTTCGCTAAGTAAATAAACGACGAACATTACCACGTTATCAACTACACTGGAAATGGAAGGAAAGCTATATTTTAATGATTCCTTGAAAATAATCTTTGTGCAGAGTTCAAAAGTATGTTGAAAATAGCGGAAACCCCCCCACAGAGAAAAGGTTGACCGTGGAAAGTTGATAGTTCGGCATATTGAATAGATACTACAGGCACAGTATCTCTCCTCACGACTTGCAGTCTCACTCTCCCCCTCCCTCTATCAGTGAGGTGCATAATGAGTCGGGCTCTAACCTTTGAGCTGGTTCCCCAATGAACAGGGTTCAACTTGTTTGTTTACGGCATCGAGGTAAAGCAAATCAGATTCACGAACACTTTTCACGATTTGTGATGTTTTATGCTAGTGCGCACAAATGCCAAATAGGGTGGTAAACTAAATATTTCTTTCCTTGAAATTCCGTCCTGTTTACACCACACCATCAGGTAAGGTCGTCACACTGCCAGTGTTATCTGAACCAGTGGCTAACATACGGATGCTCGACTTGAACTAGTCCCAGCTCTATATAGTATTCAGGGGGCGTAGCTAACCCATTTTTCCATTGGGAGGGTGGGGGGAGGGGCAAAGCCACGTGCGGGTTGTTCTGGGAGCGTAACCGTGGGCAATTGACCATATAACAGTATCTACATTTCTCTAACAGAACGGCCCACGTGCCCCCCCCCCCCCCGCTAGCTACTGCACTGACATGTGCCTAGCTCTATCGCAACACCGGTGACTAAGTTTAGTGTGGAAAATGTGGAAAATTCAGTTGTTTATAGAAAGCAGCGCACGCCATTTTAAGGAAAGCAAGATTTAGTTTTATTACTCTACTTATCTCTTAAATTGAACGTAAACGTTACCAAATTACGTCAATTTGATGTGGCAATAAAAACACGTCAAAATACGTCTGCCAGCGCAATCTTCCTGAGTTTCAACAGTCTACAAATCATAGCAACGAACTTCTTGTAGCGCGTATTCAACCGCCGTTTTTTATCGCCACACCTGAGCAGTGTGCACTAATTAGCCACGGTCATGTCACTTCAGCTGTGTTTGAGACGTCAATCCAACAAGGTGGAGTAAAGGTGTAGGGCGAAAACACATACTGCATTTATATGCGTAAATTAGCGTATGCGCAAATATTGTGGCCTGTAGGCAGATCTGACCAATGGCAATGAGATCTTGTGTGTATGGTGGTATACTGTCACAGCTTTTCATTATATTGCAGACGTTCGACGGTCAACGTACCTATGTATTTGTATCATCGTAAACTATGTGGTGTAACTCAACGTATTCTGTGATTGAAATGTATAACAGTAACATTACCTGGGTGATGGTGAATACACCAATTCTCATCGCACATCGATTGTGTATCTGTTGTAGTTAGCCACATATTATCGTACCTACACAATACAAATTTATATGTAAAGTGCACTGTAAAAGAAAATGTAGTGGGGTAACCATCCTGCCAATTTTTCGAACAATGACAAACTGGCGTCAAATGCTAAACATTCGTAAACACTCGAATGCCACGTTTGAACACAGCTCTAATATCTGTTAAATAAAGTATTTAGTTTATAATATCCGTTTTAATACAGTATTTTTACGTTATCTTCAATTGAAATAGTAGATGTCATCATGTAAAAGTACCTGTGATATCTGGAAATAATAGTGGTGAGGAAAGTAAGTTTAGGAACTTAATATAGAAACAGGAATATTAGGAATATGTCTTACAAAAAAGAAATTTTTTTTAATGAATACTATCAAACCTGAACTCGTAAAGTAGATTTTAATCTCAATGAAATACAGGAAAATGACATATACTATGCCTAAAAGGCAATACAAATAAAGTACATGGATTATCCCCATTCATGTACTCCTGATATAGTTAATTATATATTTAAAACACATACTAAATAAATTCATAGGAAGTCTGGACATTTACATTTGTAAGCATTGTTTTGCAGAATGATATTGTTGCAATTAACCATTAAGTGCCTTCACTATGTTATGTGGCTAGGTTTGATTTACTTCAGCACTGACAGATACATAATACAATAAATTTTAACCGGTACTGGTACTTTCTGACAACTATATTCCAAATCTTCCCATATTATCATAGTGACTTAAAAAATATGCGAACTTGCAGCCAAACAATGTGCTCTATATGACTTCCCAGGGCTCATACTGCATTATAATGTTACACAATGTAAATTATGTTCCACATAGGTGCGGGAAGGATTTAACTAATAGTGATGGTGTCACAATAAAAATACCCGACCCGGAGGACCTCGAACCCTGACTAGTATAGCCTTGTAAGGAACAAAATGTTCCCGAATCAAGGAAGCAACATCATGCCCACCTTGGTCGACAAAAAAAAAGTTAATTAAGAAGTGTAAGTATAATTTAGGAATATCGTATGTATACTTTTATTCTTGGATGCAGCTAACAGCTTCGTCACACCTTCAGGGCTCAGCATGCTTGTCTTGTTTTCATGTAATGGGAGCGTGTATGTGTTGGTACTCCAGCTAGGATATCACAGAATTGGATCATATCCATTCCATTCCACGTGTGCATCGTTCCACCTGCAAGTGGTGCACAAGAATCAATTGTGTAATCGCAGGTGAAACCATAACGTAAATCATTAAAAAACGATCGGTCCTTGATTGCAGCACTCGGACAATTACTGGGAACATTAACCGTTGACGTACTTTGACCTTATTTCCACTAATTAGTGCATGGCCTGTTATATGAGGCAGGGCTGTCAGGCTTGTTTCTTATCATTATCGATGAGCTCACCTCAACGTTATGTGGCACATCACTTAAAACGTCAGCTTCTTAGTGTCAACGGGGACAACCCACCAACCCTTGACTATATATCGACACCAAAACTAACTACAGACTATTATCAAGAACATATCTATACAATATTGTATTACACGACATCACATTAACATCGTTATGTATTATATGGATATGTCAATGAGACTGTTAACCTGCTAAAGCATGGTTATGGAGATCATGAATACTTACAGCGTGTGTATGCAGTGCTCCAGAGGCGGCACCAGCCCACTGACGTGCGACTGTAGGGAGTTAGTAGACGTAGACGTATCCACAGTTAACCGGATGGGCTCATCTTGTCCTGCTAGCCCATCGTAGTAGTGCAGGTCAAACGTAGTGTGTGCGACTGCATCACGTTCCAGTGCAAACAACACGGTGAAGTGGCTCTCACTGCACACTACCCAGATAGGGTAACATGGCCTCTTGTAGTTACCACCCACCTACAGGCAAATGATAGCTGCATACAGCAGGTTTATAATTCGATTGCGGTGCATCCGACGCACTGCGCCACTTCATGACAATCAATGTGAGCAATTTGGTAAAGTCTAGCTATCATCTGAGATGTAACGTTGTGCTAACCATACGGGTGAAGTGGTTTGTTACTATTAAACGACAACGCTTTTGCAACAGAAGCACTTAATAAAAGGCAGGGTCACTGAAGGTGGCAAACTTCAGTTTTGGATTCACACTAGATATCATCAAGAGCTAATACCTAGGTATTATTACTTATTAGCCCTTGATATCATCATCAATACATCCAACAACATCCTGTACATGCCGTTCTGTATTTTAAACACTAACTGATAACTACGTAACTACAGAGAATAGCATTAAAAACAAATGCTACAAGACCCTCTACCTCACAGGAACCGTAGTGTTCGAACAGGGAGAGGAAGCCAATGTCGGATCTTTCCGGAATTCCTCTGAGAGAAGATACCGCTCCTCCAGAATCCAGCAGTACAGTGCCGTCAAACACATTGGAGAAGGCTGTTCCCGTGAGTAGCAGGTTGACGATTTCCTGCACAGGATATGTACAGTCTATTTCAGCACGTAGAACAAGTATTGAATACCAAATGTCAAAGTAAAAGAAACGACCTCGCTAAGCACTTTAATTTCAAAAGAAACTATTGCCTCGGAATGTAACAAGAAACATTCCTAGGCCTTGCAGTATATCTCCTTGTTTCTATGCATAGGATATGTCTCGTACGATGTCACTTGGGTTGTTTCGATAATCTTGAATTGCAACTTTGTTAAAAAAACTCATCAGCATTTCCACTTTCATAACTTTAAACTAAACTTAAACTTAACTTTCTAACTTTAGTGTTCACTATCAATAAATTTGCTGAATATGTTCTCCTGATGATACCTATCATTACTATAAAGGTCTGATCACGACTACAGAAATGTTGAAAGATGACTTGATACCTGAGTACAGTAACCATGAAGACCCATAAGTGTATTGGATGGTTCATCCATGTCTGCTTTTAATCTGAAATTATTAAATATATTTTACGTAAATTTTACTTGCAAACATTGAATTTCATTTCACCATTCTCATAACTTGCATTTCAATTGTTTCTAGCTTTTGATGTAACATTTAAAACATCAATGTTTTAGTGAATAAAGCAAGCAGCCTTCAACATTTCAGACATGAACTAAGCAATCTTACTGTCTTGAGACTTAATACAACAAATCCATAATTTCACAATAGCATGATGAGTGAACCTTAATCAGTCATCACCTGTCAAATCCCCTGGACAAGATTACTGAGTACAGGAATGTGATGCAGGATCCATTATGGTCTGAGTCATACTGTGTGCAGTCATTCCGCAGGAACTCTTCCAGTCCCGAGAACTCATCAAATGTATGCAAGGTGAGCTGCACAGCAAAAGTACATAGAACATAACTGCAGTTAACATTAAGTTGACATCAGATGCACCTGTACTTCAACATGGCACAACATTTGCATCATAAACTACGATACTACGATATTATATATGAACAGTGTACTTTGTTTCTTCAAGCATATTATGCACTTTACCCACATGCACCATACACTCTTGAGGCATGTCTTCCTAATTAACACCATGAAAATGCAGGACAAATCCAGTTGCTATGTAAGTGACATCCTATACCAATAGATGCTATGTGATATTAAAGTTATGAACAGAAAGCGTTGAATAAGTTGGCTGTATACTTACTGTTTCCGTCAGCTGATCACATCTATACTGACTGTTAGCAACAAAGGCAGCCTTTCCAGAAGGCCTAGAAACATAGTGAAAAGCAAACTGATTTTAGCAAACCTCCTCCTTCGTCTTAGCTAAGTTATATTTGTAATGGCCACAGTGACATTACATTGCTTATTGATAGTTGTTCTAAAAATTCGACATATCACACAAACGTTTTGTATCGTACTGAATTCCCGAAATATCATCGGGGAATTCAAAATATGTAGCAACTGAAAACATTCTACATATGCTAAATCACACATTGCAGCATTACATCAGTAGTCAGTTTCAAATGCTCATTTTCGAATGATAATTGTTGTGACTGGCTTGCACTTACAGTAACACACAGTAGCGCCTACCCGTACTCACACTGCCACAACAGCACGCTTCTTGCTTCCAGCACGCCACAGTATAGAGGCAAGTGCAACACGCAGATACTTGCTTCGCTGCTCTGAAGTGGGAGCTAGCTTCTTACTTGAAGACCAGCACTGTTCTTCTGAGAACAGCCAGTGCTGAAGCATGCATGCCTGAACAGATGCCAACAGCCCGCACGGTCCTCCCTATTGCGCCACAGAAATCTGTAGGACTACACATACTTAAACAAACAGGGACAGCGAAAGCTGGCTAGTGTAAACCTAAACAACGATTCCTATAACAAACTACATCTTGGATGAATAAAATAATGATACTGAAACAATAGAGTTAGTTGAACAGCTGCCAAAAAATTATCAGAGGTATTTGTAGAGAACTTTATAGCATCTCTCTCTCTCTCTCTATCTGTCAGTTCAAAACCAAACGAAAGTGTCACATTTACCTTTTTCTGCACAAGACCATATTGCAGTTCAGGTAAATCACAGAATGAAAATCCTTGCATTTGCCATTCTATGCTGAACCTCTGCATCCCAGATCCAAATATCAATGATTTCAGCGCCTGTAAACACATTTTATTATGTAAACAAAAATGTCTACACACACTTACAAGGAAATACATTTACAATAAAAATATTCCTTACTGTACCTTCAACACCAACGGCTACAAACAAATTATTTTAATGACAAAACGTCAAGCAGTATCATAGTAATTATCCACATTTTTACCAATGATAAACTACCTATAAAACCCACAAAACCATTTAGAATCTCTGATGGTGGCACACCCTTAGCAAACCTACACAAGCAGTATCCAGTGTGATAGGAGTACCAACTACAACTCTCCTCTTACAGACAATGGGATGGCCGACATCAATACCACTGAGGTCATCGTCTAAATCCTCCAGATCATCGATTTCAATGTCCCCAATCCTTTCCACACACTTGTGTTTTCTATACATCGCAAAAAATATGTATGCTTTTACGTGTGCATTTAGATGTGCTCTTTTGATTTTGCATACACGTTTTAATGTCGATACATATTTGCACAGATATTCACGAAAGAGCAAACCTACTCACAAATGCTCTCCGAGAACTGGAAATAAGCATCTTTACAAATAACGCTGAAACCATGCACTCATGTTACGACAACGTGAATATCTTACCTTGCAAAGAGCTCTGCAGCATTTAGCTCGACTTGACTATTCTCATTTGTCGCCGAGGCATTTTTCTTACTGTCTAACACCTTGCTGCCCATGGTTAGAGCAATGTGATTGTCTTGAACGAATGCAGATGGATGCTGATAATTGATTGTAGCATTCTCATTTTGCAATCTCTCACCCAATTTCTGTATGGTGTGCATATAATAGACATATTAATCGCAATAATTAATACTGTTTAATCTACCTGTTTGCTTATTGCATATATTACACAAAGTATCAAGAGTGTATTAAGTGTGTAACTTGATACTTAATATGCTCTTGAAAGTATTCTTACAAAGATGACATTTTATTTTCTATTATAATTTTGAATTTTTTTGCTACTGATCTGCTTTATGATACTGTTTTATAGGTTAAATAATAGCATGATATATATTGTATGTTATGTGTGTTATGTAATAGGCTTCATTACATAAATGTATAAAATACAAAAATATTTCTATATATGCTTACAGATTCTTTTGCCACTTCTATAGCTTGTAACCTCTTCTGTGATTTAGTAGATGGAGATTGAACTGTGAAACAGCCATCCATTTGTCTTAATGTCTGTAAAGATTCGGGCCTCTTCTTGACATAAAGGTCTAGACTGTCATCTAAAAGGGCTGCTTTCATATTCTTGGCAAATAAATCCCTGTTCGCATCAGTACTATTGTGCTGCCTACCTACATATTTAGACAAGTTCGGGTTGCGTTTGCCACTGTTGTCACTCATGACTAGATTACAATCTTCTGTACCACTGTTGTGATCAGGAAATCTTTCTTCATCTGGCTGTGATACTTTCAAGCATACATTCCTGTCAGTTGTAGTAACAGCTGTCTCACTATCTTTTCTGTCAGTTCCTGTGATATCCTGAACATTTGAGTCACATTGTTGCCGTGGATTTGTGATGAGGTAATACACGTCTTCTGACTCAATATCCACTTTATTTACAGTAGACATTGTTTTCTCAGATTTACTTGATGCAGACTTCCGCTCTTTTTGTCTAGTTGTTGAGCTGTGTTTTTCCAAGTAATGTTTCGCAATAACTTCAACCATGGTCTTGTACTGTTTTCCACATGACTCCTATTTAAAAAAAAACTAATTAACCATTAAGCATAATCAATTTTAAAAATCAACATATTCAATCACTTGAGACAAAGATTTATATTCTACAGTGACAAACCACCATAACCCCCAGAATCTTTTTCAGTACCAGCTAATTTGAATTCATGACAATATGAGACAAAGGTGAATGGTCTACTGAATGTAGATTACCTCTGATATAAGTGTGCATGTAGCCATGTACTATACGACTCACAATGTACTACATATTATAAACACACCTTATTTTTCTTTAGTAGCTTCTCAATATGTAGTTGCTTGGCAAGTTCAACTCGATTGGTAATACTATTTTCGCATCGTGGTTGCTCTGCATCGAGTGTTGCAAGAGAATTCTTCAAGCCCTGTGATGAGAAAATGAGAGTAATATCATTCGTCTTAATTATTCTAAAACTTTGCATTAGCACTACCATTGCTAAGGCATAAATCTCAATTGATGTCTGGAACATATACAGCAAGTTTAATGGAAATGTAATTAACTATGCTGAGTGTAATTCAATCTAGCTTTTAACATTACTTTTGTGCAAATTTATGCTACACAATAGACTATACATTTAAATACTAATGAGGGATTTCTTCAATGTAATGAACAGACTGAACACAACGTAGCATACATTTACATCATTATATTGCAACATGATCTTCTTCATGGCTGACATGTGACAACGTACCTCCACATTCCTAGTTGACGAACCTCTATATTTCATTAAATATTGTTGATGTGCAGACAATGGTCACGTGTGACTGTGACACTACGTTATAATGACATCGTTCAATGATGTTTCGCTTTTTGGACATGTCTTAGGAATGTACCTTGTCCAAAGTATGATAATAAGCAGTCTGATGGATGGCTCATACCATTATACTCAGATTTTGGGTAGGCATTTGTGATTTTGGCTCGTATACTCGTATATGGGTGGTATTGATCCTCCAGCCACTAATTTAATGAGGTACACCTCATAGAAGAAGGGGAATTAAATATCTCTGAATAATTTAACCAAAGTGATTCCCTAAACGTTGGCCACTTTCTGCTGCAGGAACCATACCAGATTACCTAGCTACTTTTTAAAAACTAATTCGACTAGATTAGTAAAACATTAGCATGGCAGGCTGCTACCATGCACGTGTGTACCTAATATACCCTTTGCAGTGACTGATGTTTAATCAGGAAGAATCACTACAAAAGTCGTATTGGGAATTATGAGGAAAGTTCTATTTTTGTAGGGTTCTACTAAGGTTTTTAACACATGCCAGGTTCGACGTGCCTTCAAATCTGAAGCTACTTTGTGACATTCCATAAATCCTCTGACATGACTTAATTGCCAAATCAGGCCTAATACATACTGTTACTATAAATTTTAAATCCAATCATTTAAATAACTACCAAGGATATATATACACAAAAAGTAAGACAAGCACACTTACTTACATTGTGGTCCTCGCTATATTACTAAGTAATAATATTACTAATAACATTAACAGCAGCACTTTGAACTATCAAAATACACAAGTTTTCAATTTGGACAAGTTATACTTTTTACAGAATTTTAAAAGTTCTTCTACACTATTTACAATTAAATCCACTAGTAATATTCGTACCACCTGCCTCCAATGGTTCAACCTTCTCTATTAGACAATTTTTAACATAATTATACTTCAGACTATTATATAAAGTATTTGTCCCCATATGTTATGGTAGAGAGTTTCAAGCTGCAATCTGCGAGCTATAGTACTAGAGCTACAATCGCACTGTAAGTAAAACGGTTTTCCCCACTGCTTCCCACACTTGGTTTGAATATTGACATATGTCTCACCACTTGAGATATCTCAACCTCCATGATATTGAAACTGTGGACTACAGATGTTAACGTGAATCCTTCTCTCATATACTGTGGACTGAGGTTATGTCATATTTAAGACCCTATTATTAAAAGCTTTAGCTGCAAATAGCAGTGTCATGTAAGTACTAACAAATTCTGCCATCTAGTCATACATTAAACTTTATTATTTATTTTTTAACTTTATTTCTGAACTACATTGTTGTATTTTTACTTGATTTCTCTATTAAAAGTGTCTTCGTACACCTCTTTTCTCATACCCATCACCTGCATGTCTAGCTCTAGTACTATAGCCCGCTTACATTGACTGCCGCTGGCAGCGGCAGTCAATGTAAGCGGGCTATAGTACTAGAGCTACTGCATGTCTTGCTTAGCACATATGATAAGGTGAAAAGTGGCTATAGTTTTTGATTAGTGGCTAAAAATATCTTTGGTGGCTCAGGTCTTGGCTCAAACTTTTAAACATATAGAGGGATATTCTGCAACTTGAACCCGTCTCAAAACTTCATAAAGATTAGTCTTCACAGTCCAATTAATGTACTATATCGAAGACGGAGAAAGACAACTCAGACAACGTTGATCAAATAGACAGATCAACAGTGACGACAACATTCACTGTGGATTGCAGTAAAAAAGGTATCAATAACCAAAGAGGAAATAACGGAATTCCAATATGGGATGACAAAAACAAAGCAGAAGCTTTAAAAGTGGTACATGTCGAAAGCAATTATCACGCTCAGATGATCGAATGCTACGAATCGATTCCGAATAGGATAGGGGAAATCCAATCTTCACGTGGGTCCTGACCATAATATACCTGCAATACGGAGCAGAGGTGCACACATCATATACCAAGTAACCCCAAACCAAAACGCAAATTTCTTTTACACCACTGATAAATTACACTGACCTTTCTGCTTAGATATTCTCGAATGAGTGCAGTAGCGAGCAATTCTACATGATCACTGTTTAGCTTTGCCGCCATGTTTATTTACAATAGTAACGTCTGAAAGGCTCCCTGGTGGCGAAGTTTGAAACTACATCATAGATTTGCTCGCGGCCACGGTGCCCTGAGTTAAGGTATAAACTCATAAATATCATCATCATAAACTCATAAATAACTCATCATAAACTCATAAATATCAGTCTTCAAAGTCAAAGAGACTATATCGAAAATGTTAAGAGACAAAGTTGGTCAAATAGACAGATTAACACTACGGATCGCAGTAGAAAAAGCTTCAAATTTGCAATTATTAGTTTCTCTGGAATTCTCTGAAATTCAATGGAATTCTCTTTCTTCCTCTTTACCGACAGGACGAAAGAGAATTCCAACATGGAATAACAGAAACAAAGAAGTTAAACTTTAAGGGATCCTGGCACGTTGATACGTTGTCGCCCACTTTTCATCGGCGGTCATTTGGGATATTTTGCAATGTTTGTGCTAATGCAAGAACTAAAAACGCTAATTTTCGAGTGTCACTAACGAGTGTCACTGTTTACATCATGTACTTTCTTAAGCGCGCCTCGGCCATTTTCTACCCCCCTTTTTCTATGACCTAAATAACACAGCTGCACTTTCCGATATCCCTTATTATATGCGTGTTATATGACCGTGTTACGTCCTCAGACTATATTCTGCTAGATAGGGTCACAGACTATAAGCCCCGCTTAAGGCCCGCTTAAGCCCCGCTTTACATTGCGGTACATGCGGAATGCGGAATGCGGAATGAGGAATGCGGTACATTATTCCTTAGTCTGTGGTAGGGTCTTTAGTAACATTTAATTATTCTGGCGATAGGTGTTATTTATATAGCGTCACGCAATGCACCCGCTACAGAACGATAATATACTAGACGTACACGATGAACAGGGAGAACCGGAGACCATCCACCTTATACAACCCGTCATGCGCTATTCGTCACGGAACACTATCGGTTTATTACCTCCGCCAGGGGCTTGGCGGAGGTTATGTTTTCACCGGCGTGTGTTTGAGTGTTGGTTTGTGGGTTTGTGGGTTTGTGTACGCTCGCTGATTGGCTGATTGGCCCGCCACCGCCGCCACCGCCGCGCCGAAACCGCCTGTATCATACAGGTTAAGCCTAACTGAAAAAGTTATGGACGGATTGTATTAAATTTTTGAGGATACGTCAGAAATGGGCTAACTTAGGAAACTTGATTAGATTTTGCGTGGTGATCCGGATCCAATTAATTAATTAATTAAATTTTCAGGATAGGTCAGAAATAGGGGCTAACTTAAGAATTGATTACATAGTGGTGCCATTCCGGCATCCAATTAATTAATTAACTAATAACTTAATTAATGAAATTTCAGGGGATAGCGTCAGAAATGGTGTCAACTTAGAATTGATTACATTTGGTGGTGATCCGAATCCAATTAATTATTTAATTATATTTATTTAATTTATTTTTCACTTAATTAATTAATTAATAATTAAAAATTCACATTGAGAGGAATTCAGCTCCTTGGCGGAGGGTCTGCTGCCTCTCGAGGCTCTAGTTGTGTATGTGTGCGCCTGATGACACTCCGCAGGAACGCAAGTCAGAAGGAAAGGAGAAAAAATACACGTCCCTGATATATTAATCGCACAATAGACATTTTATTATACAACATAAATGGGCGCATAACGTCTTTTTTTACAGATAAGTACAACAAATACCTCATTTCAATGGTGTGCGCTTTAGATGGAAAACGAAGGTCTATTATCCGAATCTGTACATGTGGTCCCGTGTCTACCTTATTTGATAACTCACCCTATTTAAAGCTAGATGTGTGATACTATTATGACCTTGGTGATTTTTAAGTTGTACACGCGCACTCAATAATAATTCACGGTATTCAAAAATTCCGTTTCATGTCGGTAAAATAAATATATATAATATCAGAAGTAGATAATAGGGATATTCTCTATATAATATATAATGGATACGCGACGGCACGCCAGCGGAATGTTTGGCTGAAGGCTGCCGTTCATTCAAGGGCTACGCAATAGCGTTATATAAGTAGTAATTATTTGATTTTCGTTAATTTAATATATGTAAATTATGGTGTCATGAAATGTCATTATTTGTAATTATGTTTGTAGCGTTTATTACATAGTGACGTATTAATTAGTGTTAAATAACAAAATAACTACTAAAACAATATTAAACATCGAAATTACAATGATGACAGTTCAAGTGTTCCTCTAATTTGCGTACACTAATTAACACTTAACTAACAAAATATTTAATTACAAATTATATATATATATATATATATGCATATATAATTTAAGAACTTTGTTAGTTAGTGTATATATATATATATATATTGTATATAAATATATCAGATGTATTTCGACTGAGAAAAGATACTATATATATATACGCGTGTGTGTGTGCGTGCGTGTGTGTGTGTGTGTGTGTGTGTTGTGTGTGATGTGTTGGGATGTGTGTGTGTGTGTGCGTCCGGTGTGGTGTGATGGTGTTAAAGCAGAAGAGAGTGTGTGTGTCTGCGAGCACTGAGCTGCGCGCGCGTGTGTAGTTGTATGTGTATGTATAGCTGTTCAAACCAGTTATTATAAACCCCGTTAATCAAATGCGGCTTGGATTGTTCTTTAAACACAAGTACAGATTAAAACATTGTGGCTTCGATAACGCGAATATCGCACAGGTATCATCTAATTATAGCATTACCATATAACCTATGAATATAGTGTATCACAGATTATGACAAATTGCGTGTTCATCGCCCAGTGATTGTCAACGGCCTATTCGCCATCATTGATTCTTATAATTATATATATGCCGACACGATACGAATGCCAACACGTAGAGCCATCATCGATTCTTATATATCCGACACTATACGATAGCCCAACACGTAGAGCCATCATCGATTCTTATATATCCGACACTATACGATAGCCCAACACGTAGAACCATCATTGATTTGCAATGAACTGACGCCACGTCTCGTGAAGCCCGAACGCAAGTTAAAACTTCGATTAGATGGTGCGCGCGCGCTCTCACACTTTCTCGTGCAGGATACGATGACTGGCGCTCGGCGTGTTGACACCGGCTTGCTGCGCCGCAATCTCTCTCGTGTCGGCGCACGCGGGCAACAGTTCGTTCGACTCAAGTTCTCCGTCCGACTTCGTCACCTCCGCGCTCGATATCAGCTCAAGGCGCTGCTCGGCTTCGGCGCCCTCTGGCGGCCGCAACCGGCGAAAGCTGCCGCTGCTCTCGCTGCCCAGCTCCTGCACGATGCTCAGTTTGGTCGTCGACGCCGACGACATTTTGGCTACGAGAGGCACCGCCGTCGGCTCGCCCTTGAGCGAGCCGGAGCGCTTGCTGCTGCGCAACGCGATCAGCTCGGTGAGGATGGAGCCGTTAGAGGCGTGACGGTTGATGTTCGTCTGGCTGTTGTTGGAGCGCGACGGCACGTTCTGCGAGTACGCGTCGCTCTTATACTTGAGCGCGCGCCGCTGGCACAGCCCGTAGCGGCTCAGCAGAATGAAGAAGTCGCGGTGGAACTGACGCGTCATGATCGCGTATAGGAACGGATTGCAGCACGAGTTTAACGGGTAGAAGAACACGAGCAGAATCTTCGACTCGGAGATGCCGATCAGAGGCAGACTGCCTGCCGCCGTCAGACCGAAGAAGGCGATCGGCGCCCAGCAGGCGAAGTCAGTGAACACAAGCAGCGCCATGCGCTTGGCGACTGTCGCGTCTCCGCTGTTGGCGTTGCCGTCGTGACCGCGTATCGAGCAGTACATCTTCAGGTAGCAGTAGCAGATGACGGCGAAGGCGATCATCGTGATGACGAGCAGCGCGAGCACGTAGCCGAGGTCGACGTACGACGACACCTTCATTGGCAGGCAGATGCTCGTGCGGCTGTAGTCGCTGACGCCGGCCAGCGGCAGCGCTGCCATGACGACGGAGAAGCCCCAGCCGACAACCATCACCTTGCGCGCGAGGCCGATCTTCAGCCGCTTGTTGAGGTGCAGCGCGTACGTGATGGCGCACCAGCGCTCGAGCGTGATGATCGTCAGCGTGAAAATCGACAGCTGGCTTGCGAAGACGGTGAGAAAGCCGGCCACCTGGCAGCCGCCCTCCAGCTGCCACAAGATGGCGTGGTTGAAGTACTCGCCGAGCGTGTGCGAGTCGACGGCGGCCAGCATCAGCAGGTAGAGGCCCATGCAGAAGTCGGCGAACGCGAGGTTGCACATGAGAAACTTCGACACGGATATCTTGAAGCGGCTGCTCAGCAGCACGACGATGACGGTGAGGTTGCCTAGCAACGCGGTGATGCTCACCACCCAGACTGTGACGCGCAGCAAGTCGGGACCCATCACGTCCTCGCACGGGTTGAAGGCGTCTGCCTCCGGGATGCACTTAGCGATGCGGTTGACACGCGGTCGCTCGTTGATGTTCTGACAGACGACATCGATGGACCTAGACGCGACGGTGCTGCCGCTCCACAACCCATCTTGACCGCCTGTTTGAAATATAGGAGAGCTTTCTTATCGTACGATCAGGAGTAAGATAATATAGCTCCTATATTATCTTACTCCTGGTACGATGAATACCACTTGCGATGTTTAACCCGACTAATATTTGTTTAAATTAACTTATGGACGCATAGAGCATATAACCGTCATATTAAATTATTATTTTTATTATTGATATTATTATTATTATTATTATTATTATTATTATTATTATTATTATTAACAGCATAGCGCCTATATTATGTTTGACGTTCTCACACGGCATCTAAGACTGGTTGGACGTATAAGAATTATTGCTATTGCATATTGATTGTTTTTCACTAGAAGCTGCTCCCTACCCACCCCTCCCATGCCCGGGGGCTGTGGTCTTACAGCAGCAGTCCTGTTTCGTAATGAATCGTGATGATTATGATATTCATGAAAATTATCTTGGGAATGTAAGGTCATTATAGGCAAGCAAAAAATGATTTTTTTATAATAATAATTAAGCCACATTAACTCAGTTGTCGATTGCCGATGAGGAGGAATGTACTGATTCATTCTATTAGTGAATTACTTACTCTCTCGACACGGTCGTGAAGTTGTACCGTTGCTATGGAAATTTCCAAAGCCTCTTGGACCGCCAATTCCATCGAAGGATCGTTTCGCGCGATTGTAATCGCCTGTTGTAACGACAGATGGCGCAGTGGTCGTAGACGTTGTCGAGAAACACAGACGCTCCTGTTGCTCGATCAGCTTTTCCAATTGCCGCTTGTATTCTTGCGGATTTGCCTAAACGAATTATTTAACAACGTTCGGAAATTCCATGGCGTAATGAGGCTTACTGCATTAGCTACATTAACGTATATAGAGCGCTCTAATTAGCTTCTTATTAGGTTTATATTTCGTAGTGACATTATTGCCTAAATTGCCATCATTGAGAAATACAAGCATGGAGAACCGCGCATGCCGGGCTTTTCCTTATAAAACTGGCTAATGACCACCACATTGTATTTTAAACGAGATAAAAAGTGTTTATCTAATTAGGAGTTTTTTTAATATATTTTCTGTCGAGGGTACTCATTTTCTTAAAACAGACTCAATACAACTCAACAAACTCACCACAATTTTTTTCTTTGTACTTTTTTTTTGGCAAGAACTTGAATTATTCATTTAAGCAGATATTTAATTAAATACAAGATTAACACTCTATCTAACCCCGAAATATTTCTGAGTCATTGCTTTACGACGTGGTAACCACGAGATAGCAATTTACAGTGGCAATTCAAACCCTGCATCAACGAATCGATGGATTTTTAGAAAGAAATAATTTGGTTAGTGTAATTCGCGCGTGGCTACCTCTGAGCGGATACTTTCCCATTTGGGTTACCTTGTGCGGATTCTCAAAGGCGCAGCAGTGGTATGGGTACGTCAGCTTCGCCGACTTAATCCTTTCGAAGTTGACAACTGCCGGCAAAGTCTTTAAGGTCGGCACGTTCTCCAGTTCGAGCTCGGAGATCTGGCTGAGTCCCTCTATGGGCAACGTTGTCAGCCGAGTTCCTGACAGGTGTCTAAAAGCACGAGAGCAGGTTGGGTAACGAACAAACCCATAGGGACGATTCCGGCAATTTGAATGGTAACTAATTGAGCGCGCGAGCGGCGCGTATAGAATTTCGCGCTGTATTATGGTTTAATCATAGAACTAGAAAGCCATTACGGCAAAGGTTCCCGGGTGGCGGATATTGAACGCAGTTTCATCGCCGGTGATGTTCAGCAGTGGTGCAGTTAAACACAATATTGATCATGATGTCTCGATCCTCACTCTACACGGCTGTATTTAAGCTACAAACACTCGACTCCATGAATGAGAGATATACACGCATAAAAGCTCATAACAACATGTTCATCTCAAAAATGGCATCGCAAACGAGTCGCCTGAATAAATTTAAGGGCATTCATGTCTAGACGAAATATTGCATCGCTGAAACCTATATGTGAATAAAGCGATGTTATTGCTCGACACGCTAGAAACAACAATAGAGAAACATCAGCAAACACGAAACTATTTTCCTTCTTTCGGACGCAGCCGAAAAAGAAACGGTTGCGGTTTTTAAACTAATTAGCTCCACCTCAGGGTGGCGCTAAAAAGTCCGTTGACAAGGTATATCGTGACGCAATCGCGTACTTGAAACATCGTACGTCGCTGTTTGCTGATCAACCGGCGATTACTGGAACCTGTAACACACGAACCTTGCAACACTTGCCTCACGCTACCTTTCGGTGCATGTACCTACGCCGCCATCGCCCGGCTAGGCAAACCCACAGTGGCCTCATTCATCACTCGTTATTTACGGAGAGATGTTGCGATGATAGCTTTTCACGATAATGCGTTTCAAATTGTGAGGATTCGGGCCGACAAAAACGTTCCCCAGCTTCTTCGAGCACGAACTTCGACGTGACATTCCCCTTTAAATGACATTACACACACACACACACACACGCACACGCACACACACACACACGCACACACACGCACACACACCGCACACGCACGCACGCACGCACGCACGCACGTACACACACACGCGCGCGCGCGCACACACACACACGCACGCACGCACACACACACACGCACACGCACGCACACACACACGCGCGCGCACACA